AGTATAAAATACACATGGAGTTTCAAAGACAGGATAAAATAAGGCATATAAACTATTATATTAGTAATTTTACTTTATTTTTTTGAGGGAGGGTCTCACTCTATCACCCAGGCTGGAGAGCAGTGGCATAATTTTGGCTCACTGCAGCCTCAACCTCCCAGGCTCAAGTGATCCTCCCACCTCAGCCTCCTGGGTAGCTGACACTACAGGCATGTGTCATCTTGCCTGGCTTTTTAAATTATCTTTTTGTAGAGACGGGCTGTCACTCTGTGGCCTAGGTTGGTCTCCAACTCCTGGCCTCAAGGGATCCTCCCACCTCAGCCTCCCAAAGTGCTGAGATTACAGGTGTGAGCCACCATACCTGGCCTCATATTAGTAAATTTATATTAATTATATGTTGAAATGACAATATTTTAGATAAATTGGATTAAACTACATTATAATTAATTTCACCTGTGTCCTTTCATTTTATTGTGGCTACTAGAAAATTTAAAATTACTTATATGTATATATAAAATTACATATGTATATATGTATATAAAATTACATATATATATGGCTCATACTCTAGTTCAATTGGATAGTGCTACTTTGAACTGCAAAGTCAAAGCAACACTTGCAGCCAATCCCACATGAGTGAAGGCTCTGTTCCACTAGCTGGAAGGCAAGGGATTGTACTATACCACCTCTTTGGGTGGCTTTCTGTTGAAGGATTCTCCTTTTCTACATGCTATTCTTCATTTCTAATTAAATTTGCTAAATTCCCATGGCTATGTGTGGGAATGAGTATGAGAGTGTTGGTGTTTTGGTGTGTCCAAATGCACACTTGCATGTGGGAAGTCTTAATGAAACACTAACGTGGAAGTATGTGTTTTCGCCAGTGAAAAAGAAGAGAACTCTGATAGGTAGGAAACCTCAATGTGATCTACTATCTCCTACTCTCTCTCTAAAACAGAGTGTGCCAACCACAGGCAGTTGGGCCAACTCTGTCATCCAGAGGTTCTAGAAACAGAGATACTGAGGAGAAGTGGGGCGGGAGTCTCTTAGTAAAACCTAGGTATCCGTTTTCAAAAGGTAACTAAAAAGTTGGTGGGTGGGGAACCAAGCCTGGAGGTGGTAATGCAGGGCTTTTCATAGTCCATTTAAACCAATCTGAATCACAGAAATTTTCAATTATCTAAAACTTAAAGCAGTTACTCGCACTAATGCAACCACTTTTGGTAAATAAAGTATTGCCATTTGTGTCAACTGGCCTGGCCTGCTCTTGTGAGTCACCAGGGCTTGTTTTTTGGTGGTAACTGTTTAGAGACAAATGAATCATGAGAAGACCTTGCTGCCCAAAGTGTGGTCGTGGACCAGCAGCAGTAGTCGCACCTGGAACCTTGTTAGGCAAATTCTTGGATCCTGCCCCAAACACAAAACAACAAAACAAAACAAAACCCTTGTTAAAATGCAATGAGAATCTGCCTTTTAACAAGAAGATGCTCATGTGATTCATTTACCCATGTAAATTTGAGAAGTACCTGAAGTTTAACCTTCTGACTATATTCATTCACTTAACTAACTTTTTTGGTAAATAAACAATGGCAGCCAGCCTTTCATCTGAGTTAGAGTCTCTGGAATTTGCCCCTTTGGGGATCTTCCTGTTTTTCTTTTTCTGTAGACTGTAGCTAATTATACAGAATGTTTTTCAAGTAAATCAGTGGTTCCAGGTGGTTCTTGGATACGAGCCCTGTAAAAAAAAAAAAGCTATAAAAGGCCAGCTATTTCTCTTATAAGTTTCCAACTTAAGTATTCCCTGAGGCAAACAGCTTCAGCACAAGGGAGGCAAATAATTTTACAGTAAAGAGATGAGTATCTGTGTAACTACTACACTACCCTCATATACATCAAAATAAGGGGGGAGATTCCCAAAATCAACTTTTAGAATGTCACACCCTGACACAAGGGACTTTTACACCAAAACTGAGAAAAACAAGTTTAATCTGCATACTTTTCATATTAGTTAAAATTCTTCTACTGCCAAAAAACCTCCTGCTGTAAATTTTTTTAAATCTTCCATTATCCTTTAATTGTTTTTATAACCTTCCCAGAGCTTATATTACCACTGTGATTATCTGATAAGATCTCATTCTATTTACTCTGACCAAGGAGCAAAAGAAAACACACAATGAGAATATTGAGTATTTTGAAGCAAGACATTAACTCTTCAGTGAAATTGTTTGCAAGGGAGCTGCGAGGTTCAAACATAAAGTCTCAAAGACTGTAAAAACAGGTTCCCAGACCAAACTGAGGGTCAGGCTGCTATTTCTTGTGGCTCAATAACGAGATGCAGATGAACTGGGGAGGAAGAGAGTTTTATTTTCTGCAACTGGTTACAGGGAGAAAGCCTGGAAATTATCGCCAGAACAATTCAAAATTACAAAGTTTTCCAGAGCTTATATTCCTTCAAAGCTATATGTCTACGTGTAAGTGGGCATTCATCTAAAGATATAAATGATTAACTTCTTTTAATCTATAACGAGGTCTGAGTCCTGAAGACCTTCTTCTGGAGCCTCAGTAAGTTTATCTAATCTAAATAAATGGGTCTAGGTGCTGAGGTGAGTACCCTTATCTGTCTCCTGCTAAATCATAAAGGTTTGGGGAGTTCCCTTAGACCCCAATAAACTTGTTTGTGGAGGCCTGGGGAGTTTCTTCAGATCCCCAATAAAACTTGTTTAATCCTAAAAGGGTCCTGTTAAGAATTCATTCGTTATCTTGTCATGCTCCAAGGCCCAGGAAAAGCCTACGCAAAACTCTTGGTGGGCTCTTTGTTATATTCCAGCCTTTGGATAAGAGCACTGGTCAATCAGCTTTTAATGTTTAACCTAGCTACTCAGTCAGTGCTGGGACAGTTGTGATGGAGCCCTGCATTAGTGAGATCTGGCCTACCACAAATGTACTTAGATATGGTATTACAAAGCAAACTTGAGTGCATAATACATAATCATGTATATTATGTATCAATAATGACTGTACTGATACATAATACCAACCATTTGGTATTATTGTATATCACCACATGATACCAATCATTTGAACAATCATGACATAACAATGCCTTTGACCTTAAATTCAGTGATTATTGACCACCTGCATCCAAGCTGCTCATATATTTTTATCTGATTGACTACATGGATTGTTATTAATCATACCTGGATCTTTTATTTCATGACATTTGTAAAATATAATTCATCAAAAAAGAGATGCAGACGAAAAAACCTGGCCAAATCCAAATTTCTAATTCAAAATACACCTTTCTCAGCAGTGAAAAAACAAATAAACTGATTTTTAAAAAAATAGGCAAAAGACCTGACTGGACATTTTTTTAAAGAAGACATATAAACAGCAGGTATATGAAAAGGTTTTCATCACTAATCATCAGGGAAATGCAAATCAAACCATAATGAAATATCACTTCACTACTTCTTAGGATGGCTGTGATCAAAAATTTAAGAGGTAGGCGTTGGCAAGGTATTCCCGGAATAAAAAGGGAATGCTCTTATGCTGTTGGTAAGAATGTAAACTGGTACAGCCATTATGGAAAATGGCATGGAAAATCTTCAAAAAATTAAAAATAGGACTACCATTCAAATCCAGCCATCCCACTACTGGGTATATATCCAGAGTAAGTGAAATCAATATATGGAAGAAAGCTCTGCACTCTCATGTTTATTGCAGCATTATTCATAATAGCCAAGTTAAGGAATAAACCTAAATATCCTTCAATGGATGAATAGATAAGAAAAATGTGGTATGTGTGTAACTATGTGTGTGTGTGACACACAATGGATTAATATTCAGCCTTATACGAAGAAAATCCTGCCTTTTGCAACAACACAGATAAAGCTGGAGGACATTATGCTAAGTGAAATAAGCCAGACACAGAAAGACAATATATGTAGAATCTTTACATAAACGTTAAAATATAGAAGCAGAAGTTGCCACGGGCTAGGGGCAGGGAAATAGGGAGATGTTGATCAAAGGGTACAAACCTCTAGTTCTAAGATGAATAAGTTCTGGGAATCTAAAATATGGCATGGTGACTATAGTTACTAATAATGTATTATATACTTGAATTTGCTAAGAGTAAATCTTAAGAGTCCTTACACCCTCACACACACAAACAGTGGTAAATAAGTGTGGCGACAGATGTGTTCATTTGATTGTGGCAATCATTTCACAATGTATGTCAAATCATCATGTTGTATGCTTTGTGTTTGTTTTGAAATGGAGTCTCACTCTGTCGCCCAAGCTAGAGTACAGTGGCATGATCTCGGCTCACTACAACCTCCACCCTCCCAGGTTCAAGCGATTCTCCTGCCTCAGCCTCCCAAGTGGATGGGATTACAGGCACCCGCCACCATGCCAGGCTAATTTTTGTATTTTTTTTAGTAGAGATGAGGTTTTACCATGTTGGCCAGGCTGGCCTTGAACCTCCTGACCTCAAGTGATCTGCCCACCTTGGCGTCCCAAAGTGCTAGAATTACAGGCATGAGCCACTGTGCCCGGCCGTATACTTTTTGAATATATACAATTGTTGTTAGTCAAATGCACCTCAATAAAGCTAAAAGAAAAAAATAAACCTTCCAATTCAGTTAAAACAGATGGGGAAGAACACATTGCCACAGTGATGAGTCTCTCTTTAAACTCATGACCTGAAACCACCTACACCTGGACATGCCTGCCTTCAAGCAGCTACACCATATTCTCAATTCATTCACTCTCCCACTCCCCTGGACAACTACATACCTTCTCTCTCCTCTAATCTTCAATACTTGCTCACTCATCCTCACTCTCATTTGATGACTTTTCTTCCTATTTCACTGAGAAGTTGAAGGAATCTGAAGACTATCCACAAGCCCCTACCACTTGGAAGGCTGACATTAGCCTGCTGAATATACCTTTGTCAGATCTGACTAAATTGCATTATTTTTTACTAGCTGGGGAGCCCCACTTACCATCTCCTTCTTATCTTTCTGGAAGTGCACATCTACAAACATCTTTCCAACAACATAAGGGAGGGCGCTTTCAATAAAGTTAACACATTTGTCCCATTGAGGCAGCAAAGTTGTGGTCCCCTGGATTACCTGTGGGAGATAATTGATCCAGATTAAACTTCATTTGGATAAAACCCATGGCTGAAAAAAATTCAAACAGCCTGAAGAAAACAGTCTATGAAACATTGCATACCCTAACCCATATATGTGTGTCAGATAGTAGAGACAAAGATAAAATAACTGAAGAAGAAGAAAAAAATATGCTTGTACCCATCATATTGAAAACTAAATGAAAATGCTTTAGGCCAGGTGCAGTGGCTCATGTCTGTAATCCCAGCACTTTGAGAAGCCCAGATGGGCAGATCACCTGAGGTCAGGAGTTGGAGACCAGTCTGGCCAACATGGTGAAACCACATGTCTACTAAAAATACAACAATTAGGCATAGTGGCACATGTCTGTAATCCCAGCTACTTGGGAGGCCGAGGTGGGAGCACTGCGTGAACCCAGGAGGCAGAGGTTGCAATGAGCCAAGATCAGGCCATTGCACTCCAGCCTAGACAATGGAGTCGGACTGTCTAAAAAAAAAAAAAAAAAAAAAAAAAAAAAAAAAAAAAAAAAAAAAAAAAAAAAAAAAAAAAAAAAAAAAAAAAAAAAAAAAAAAAAAAAAAAAAAAAAAAAAAAAAAAAAGAAGAAGGAGAAAGAAAAAAATGTTTTAACAGTTAAAATAATACATTTCTCCTTTCTTCCCAATTTTACCCATTAAACAAAGAATCTGGACAATGGTATCACTTTTCTGCAGTCAGCAGGGACATGAGAGGATGTTATTCAAGTGTCCAGATAGTAGTTAATATCTACTGAGAACTGAAGTTCCACTAAGAAGGTCTAGAATCAATGGGTATTCAAAGTTCCTGCCCAATGAGGGTTTCCTTGCTCTGAGTAGCACACTCAACAAGGCAGAGCAGGAGAACATGACCCACCATGAACACAGGGAGCATATTTACATTGTGTCACAGCAAAAAATACACTGGTAAACAAGTAAAATACAGATGGAAATGCTTTGCCCATCTGTTGCAATTATACCATTACAAGAAAACATTTACAAACAGGTAAGAAGGTTCCCAAGCAGGCCCTGGAAGGCTCAGAGGTTTATTCTTGGGGATAAAAGCAGAGAAATAAATATAAAGTTGCCCTTGGAAGTTGGGGTGCAGGCAGGGAGGAAGGGAGGCCCTGAGAATGGTGGCCAGAAGTGTCCTTTACACAATGTTAGAGCCAGGTTGTTTTGAGGAATGGGATTAAGGCTTAATTTCATCTATTCTTCCTCTGATTTCTGGTAACCTCTCTCAGAGGTAAGGGATGAATCTATTTTTAAAATCTGTAGAGAAAGAGATCCTACAAACTTCTTCAGCAATTCAATATTATATTTAGCACTTCGTGCTCAAGAAACGTCCCCTCATACCTAACCTTAAATGTTCAGACACTGCTTCTTACACCTCTCTCTCATTGTCTTCACAGTAGGGGTGGAAAGCAGCCGGGCATCATCTTTTATGTGATTCATGGGAGTTAAAAATACACACACACACACTCTACTTGTTTTGTATCTTAATCCATTGTTATGACCTAAATATACATATATATATATATTTGTTTTATGCTGTTCTCTGTAAAAATACTTTTTTTTTTTTTTTGAGACAGAGTCTCCTTCTGTTGCCCAGGCTAGAGTGCAGTGGTGTCATCTCAGCTCACTGCAGCTTCTGACTCCTGGATTCAAGCAATTCTCCTGCCTCAGCCTCCCGAGTAGCTGGGACTACAGGCGTGTGCCACCATGCCCGGCTAATTGATGTATTTTTCATAGAGATGGGTTTTCACCATGTTGGCCAGGCTGGTCTTGAACTCCTGACCTCAAACAGTTTGCCCGCCTTGGCCTCCCGAAGTGCTGGGATTACAGGCATGAGCCACTGCATCCAGCCCTAAAGTAAATTTATATGCTAGTGACTTTATAGGGTCAAAGCATATCCAAAATAACTGCACTACAGAGAAATGGCCCACTAAGAATTTCTATACTTACTAGTTCCTCTAATAACTAGAATTTCTCTTGAATGAAATCATTGCTTATAAGATTCACCATTTACTTAACTTTAAATTGATAGAAAAACAAAAACTGTTTTAAAGATACAAAACCCTTACGGCCTCTAGTGGTAGGAGAATTAGTCAGACATAAGCCTCAAAAACAAAGATGAGAACATGGGTATAAACTGGGAGGCAAGCAAGGGTGGGAGAGAAGCAAAGATTAAAGAGTGGCTCATGCCTTTCATCCCAGCACTTTGGGAGGCTGAGGTGGGAGGATCACATGAGCTCTGGAGTTCAATACACACCTGGGCAACATGTCGAGACCCCATCTCTAATAAAAACAAATAAAGAGCCAGGGAGAGAAAAAGAGCAGGGAGAGGAAAACCATCTCAGTTCAGCGAGGTCTCAGAGAAAACTAAATTGGAGCCTCTTGGACCTAGCAGAGGATAGATGCAAAGATGGAAGGTACAGGTAAAGTTTAAGACAAAATTATTTCCAAATTGAAAATGAAACTCTGTCATCTAATACCACTATCATGCACATTTTAAATATTCAGAATACTGAAAATAAAAGATAGTTACAAATATATCACAAAGAAATATTAAAATTATAATTACAGTGACCCAGTTGAAAACTCTGGGGGAAATGGGAATACACTGATAAGACGGAGAAGTTTGAAAACAATGTGTGGCCTCAAGTATTTCCCTAAATATCTTTATACAAACCATCAAAGTAGAGCTTGAGTGTTCCTTGCCATATGTAATTTATACCTAAATAAAAATAAATAAGGCACACACACACAAAACAATAGAGTTTGGGCTACAAACTCCCTCTGTCTAATCCGTAAAGGTGGTTTTTATTGGATCAGTTAATATATGAACCATTCCAGCATAAAGTTATCCAGTGATGTAACACTGCAACCTTCTTAAACTTACCCTTGAGAATTCCAGCCATCTATACTGAAAGCGTCTGCTAAGGTTTGGAATTCTGGAATAAACCATTCTCCACACCAAATAGTTGGCAATGGTCCTGTTAACAGAGAGAGATGCCCATTTATTGTATTTTAGGTCAATATCTGATACTCTGCAGAACACCTTGACAAAAACAGTTGGCAAAGCTCTACCGAGAGACCTCTTGCTCATACAAAAACGCCAAACTTTCACTTGAGAAATGACATAAGATGATACAATGTCAATAAGCACGACCAAAATTGGCTTGCTTTTCGCCACCAAACAGAGATAGATGAAGGAAAGATGCCAGCCCCGGCCCTCAGAGTGAACATTTTGCTTTCACTCTCAGGGTATAGAGTCCACTGTTACACAGCCTTTCAGGTCTGGAAATTCTGAGTACCTTCACATTACAGCAGATCCTCAAGTAGCATCATTTCATTCAACATCCTTTTGTTTTACAGTTGATAAGAAAAAAAATCAATTCTGGGCCAGGGTCACTGTGTGGAGTTTGCACATTCCCCCCAGGTCTGCACAGGTTTTGTCTGGGTACTCTGGTTTCCTCCCACATTCCAAAGATGGTCCTGTTAGGTTAATCGGCATGTCTACATGTTCCCAGCGTATGAGTGGCTGCACCCTGCGACGGGATGGAGTCCGAGTCAGGGATGGTTCCCGCCTGGTGCCCTGAGCTGCCTAGATAGGTTCCAGCACCTGCAACCCTGAACTGGAATAACTGGGCTAATAATTATCTTACTTGCTTTTATTTGTCTTTCTTAAATGTATGTATAGCTCACATGTATTCAGTGTTTAATATTAGAAGTGTTTTGGTCTTCATTTAGAAGTTTGGTGATGTTTTTATGAGCAAGAATATGCCATAGGAACTTAACCCCTGTTTACATCAATTAGCCTATGGTAAAAATTGCTTTCATTATCTGTCGTTTTGCTTAAAGTCACAATTTCCAAGAACCTATCAATGATGTTAAGTGAGGACTTACTGGATTAGGTGACTTGATAAAATGCCTATGTATTCTTTGCCTTTAGAAACTACAGCAAAATAATGCCAAGTATCTAATTTTGCACCCTGATTCTATGCTTACTAAATACGTGAGTTTGGACAAGTCACTTAAGGTCTCTGATTTTATCTTTCCTTATCATACAATGGGGTTGATCCCTACCTTATAGGGTTGTTGTAGGATTCAGATAAATAACAAAATGCTTGACAAAGAGTAAATTTCTAGGTTTTGTTGCCTTTCACTTCCAAATATATGAACAACCTCATAAGCTAATGTCATGTTTAAGATACATATTTTTTTAATCTGTTAAATGTTAAGGGTTGCCTTTTTCTATAAGCAAAAGATGACCTAACCTCAGAAGAATGTGTGATCTGAGTTAATTCCTAACTCAATAGTGATGATGGATTTTTAATGATCCATTCCCCTCCCAGCTGTGCCATTACCATGGTAACTAATCACACACAATCCTGAAAGGGCTTTCTGGTCAGCCAGTTACATGAGAGCAGTATGACATGACGCTAAAAGCCCATCAAGAACAAACCACACTCTCATTTATATGGCATTCTGACACGGTGGACATGCACTCCTACTAGTAAAAGACTTTTCAGCATACACACCCAATACATAGATGTTTAATTCCTATGGAGATATACTAATAGACTAATAGGAATATTTTTAACAAATACAAAAACAGAAATTTCCAAAGATGAGGTAAAATTAACTTTAAAATCTTCAAAAGTCATTAATTAATCCTTCAAACACCATTGGGTTAATTTTTCAAGACATAGTGTCCATATAGGATTTGGTTAATACAACGGTGACAATGAATATAAATGCACATTTCTTAGAGTCTACTTGACCATTTCAAAAATTTATGACATGTCATTGTCAAATTGCCATTGTCCTTCTTACTGTTAGACCACCATTGTATTTCTCTTGTCATCTGGCTAACCAACATCACGTAACAGCCTGGGAGAAGGGTCACTTCTGCCAGTTTCTAACTGTTCTCTTGTGTTTACATCAACAGTAGTCATTTCAATTCTTGTTTCTCTGCAAGAATGTTTTAAGTGACTTATCTACATTGTAAGTAGTAAACCAGATAAACTACATAATAAAATTCATAAATCTGCAGGTATATGCAAACAGCTCTTTTTTTTTTTTTTTTTTTTTTAGACGGAGGCTCATTCTGTTGCCCAGGCTGGAGCACAATGGTGCCATCTCCACTCACTGCAAACTCTGCCTCCGGGGTTCAAGCAGTTCTCCTGCCTCAGCCTCCTGAGTAGGTGGATTTACAGACACCTGCCACCACACGTGGCTAATTTTTGTATTTTTAGTAGAGATAGGGTTTTACCATGTTGGTCAGGCTGGTCTCAAACTCCTGACCTCAGGTTATCTGCCCTCCTCAGCTTCCCAAAGTGCTGGGATTACAGGTGTGAGCCACCACACTGGCCAAGATTATTTTTAACATATTGAATGAAAACAAGCCAGTGAGGGTGACAGTGCCCCTCTCACATGTTCCATATGGATCAGATTAAGGGTCCACAGCCATCAATATAGAACTCAATAAAGCCTAATTATTTTTCTTTATAAAGTTTTCCTATTTCAATAGCTTTTGGGATATAAGTGGCTTTGGGTTATATGGATACACTGTATAGTGATGAAGTCTGAGATTTAGTGCACCTGTCACCCAATCTGTAGTTTTTTATCCCTCAACCCCTTCCCAACCTTCCTGATTCTGAGTCTCCAAAGACCATTATACCACTCTTTTAAATTTAAAAAATAAAGATATACAAGTTCTAAAATGTTCTTCTCAGACCTAATAGATCTTGTTAGGGTATGCATATTCCCCAAAGATACCACCACCCTAATTAGCAAAGTCTAGCCCTTGCCCATCTCTGCTGAGGCCACTATAATAAATGCAGTTTGGGGTCATTCCTTTGGCTCTTTTGCCTACATCTCTACTCCTTAATAGGACAAGAGTGCTCACTGAGCACTTAGTGTTGGCCAAGTATTGTTCCAGATGCCATGAGGAACGTAAAGAAATAAGAACCCAACACCTACAGTTAGAAAACTCAAAATCCAGCTGGGAACACACGACTTCAGACTTCAGCTTGTTCATGTAATCAGTTAATTGAAGGGACACACTGTAAGTATATAAGGGATCATTCATTCAATCAATACATCCTGAGCACCCACATATACACTACGTGATGGGGAGATGGAGAGTCCCTAATTTCCTGAAACATTTTGCTGAGCAGGGGACATGATTCAAGTGCATAATGATTTGGTAGACCCTAACGCCCAAAAGTACGTGCCAGACACTTCACCGTAAGGACGGCACACTTCAAACTGAGGGCTAAGAGTAAGCTACATGACAGGAGTATGCTGAAAGGTTAAAACACAATGATGTTGCAAATAGGAACGTGAACTCTAGACAGACTAAATAACGGTGGAATCGGCTGATGTGTTGGAGAGGATGGTGAGCAAGATTATCACTCAAGATGTGGGAAAAAAGGCCAGCCACACTGGGAAGACGCAGACAGTGACCAGGGTACAGTGTCTAGCACATCAATGAGCCGATCCTGGTACTAGTGCAAGGACTGTAAGTTTTCTTTCTTTCTAAAATATCGCTTGCCAGGTGTGTGAACCATGCTGGATCCATAGGTGGAGATGAGGAGGTCAACAGCCAGCAGATGTCCTTTCATGAATTCAAAAGATATTCCCTCAAGGGGGTGGTGATGAGCCTGAATAACTGGGGAAGTTGTTAGGGGGCCCGATGGTGGTGGTGGAAGAGGCAGTATGGCAAAGTACACTGGGGTTTGACACATAGGAGCCCTTCCAGCTCACCTGAAATCATCCCTTTTAGGCATCTCACATTAACTATGATCTTCACAGTGCTGCTGTAAGAGAGATATTATTATACCCATTTTATATATGAGGAAACTCCAGGCTTAGAACCATTAAGTAAACTCACAATCACATATTTGGACAGTCTCAAACTAGTAGAATCACCTGGGGAAGTTTTTAAAAGTCCACATGCCTAGGCGACCCCAGGCCAATTAAGTCACAATCTCTAAAGTGGGACCCAGCATAAATATTGCTCATAAATCTCCTCAGCTAAGTCCAATATGAGGCCAAGTTGAAGAACCACTGTAATAAGGAATGGATGCCAGACCAGACCCAGGTGTGTCTAACTCTAAAGCCTGCATGATTTTCCCTATGCCACACAGTGATAAATTAAAGCCTCTAATTTTTTTTTTTTTTTTTTTTTT